GACAGCACTGCTACAACACCACAGATCAGAGTCAACCCAGTCACAGCCGAGACACACAGGACTACCTCTCCAGCTCCAGCCAGCCGCAGGACAGCGCTGCTACAACACCACAACCTAATCATAGCCGAGACAACAGGACACCATCTCACCCCCCAGGACACATACAAAACACAGGAGAAAAAGCGAAGAGGAGACCTAGGTAAAGGGAAAGGAGACGGAGGAGAGCGAGGAGATGAGGAGTGGGGGGTGAGGGGAGACAAGGGAAGGAGAGGGACAGACATGGAGGGGGTATAGGAATAAACTTGATTTTAATAAGGTGATGTAATAAGGTGTTGACCTTATCTGTAGATTAGGGGGCTGGTAAGGGTACTGTTTATCCCAACAGACATCAGGGACTTGACCTCATTGGGTGTGTTTAAGTGTGGTTTGCAATGTTTTTGAGATTAGCTTTTTTGTAATTAATTTATCTATTTTGTTTTCCACCTTGGCTTCCTTTTAAGCTTGGCACATTTTTTTTATTTTATCGTGCCATGTGCTTTTCATGTATTGTAAAGTGCCGTATAGTTCATAATTCATTACATATAGTGTATACAGTTTTATTACACAACTATGAGGTTTGTCCCAAAGGTTATTTACTTTGTAAAATCGCGCGTCACGTTCTGCTACAGTGTGTGTGTGTGGGTGTTGTGTCATTTCAATTCTAGGTTACCTCTTGAGTGTAGGAGCCCCCTATGGGTCTTAGAAAATTAGAAATAACCATAGAAATACGGCGCCTTTTCTTAATATCGAGTTGAGAAACGCGTCTGCCACATTCCCGGCGTCTCCCACCTACGGATGGCGCGTCCTGCCCAGTAACAGGAGGGTCTTTGTCGCAGCTGGAGACCATCCGATTGTTGCACTTCAGGGGCGGCCAGTGCGAGGGGAGGGGGCGCTTCGCTGACGCGCTCTGCCTTCTTACCCCCGCGGTTCCGTTCCTGCGAGGGCCGCCCCACTCTCTCGGCGGTGAGTAATACCGACGCGCTCGGCGCCCTGAGCCTCGCTGATCCGCCGACCGGCAGACGGGCGGACGGATGGGTGAGTGAGTGAGCGAGCGACAGAAGATGAGCGTCAGCAGGGAAACAAGCATGTTCTGTAAGTGAAGTTACAGTAGCTGAGAAGCCTGAAATTTCACCCCGAGTGCGATAGTGCGGCGTGAGTCGAGTGTAGCTACTATTGCTCAAGTTTTTTTTTCTCTCTCTCTCTCTTCCTCCTGCGCATTGGCGTTTACTGTACAAAACCAACAGCGGAGATCCGGAAAATTTCAACTTCACTCCGATATTGATGGCATCATTTTAACACAACGTGCCTTGATTGGCGTTATCTCCTGTAGTGGAGTGCTTAATACTTCGTAAAAAAATTAAGGCACCGAATTATTGTCTCAAAAACAAAAATGAAACGAGATCGGGTTTTCTCAGCAGCATTTGGCTATTGCTGGGCCGTTACAGAACCCCATTTCTTATCCGTTTAATTCACGTCTACACGCCCATTAGCCGGAGTTTCCACATCGTTGGACGGAAAGGTGAATACACGGATACCTCACTTATTAAGTTTATGGGAAGATGTCCCAGAAGTTCTAATGCCGTGAAATATGTTCTCCAAAACAACAGACAGGTGATGAGCGAAAGGGGCAAAGGGGTGTTTCTTCACCCCTGGGAAACTTTTGCAGGTTCTTGTTTTAAAAACGGCAGGCAGTGCAATGTTCACGTTACGAACTCCTCTTTGCCTCTCTGCGGTGATCTTGAAACAGTTCATACTGTTACTGGACCGGTGTGACAAAGGGAAGTTTTTCTCCCTGAAGTAATACGCTTTATTATTTATATTGTTTCCTTTTTTTTAAAAAAAAAGAGGGAGATCTCTTACGTGTTGTCACAGTCGCATGGCCGCAAAGTTGCAGTGTGAGCATTTCTGTGTGTGCCATTTATTAATATGTAACCCCTGGGAAGAACACACAGCAGCGTGTTCGACCTTGCTTTCTGCGGTGTTGGATAGATGATGCGGTATTTTGTTCCAGGTGACTTTTTCGTGCCGAGGTGAAAGGCGGAACGAAATGGCCGGAGCGCTGCCGTCAGCTGGTCCCCCCCAGGGGCCGAACGAGTCCCTCTGGTCCCCCGCAGAGGCGAACGAGAGCTGCCGCTTCGACGAGGAGTTCAAGTACATCCTGCTGCCCGTGTCCTACAGCGTGGTGTGCGTGCTGGGGCTGGCCCTGAACTCCGTCGCCCTGTGGATGTTCCTGTGCAAGATGCGCCCCTGGAACGCCAGCACGGTGTACATGTTCCACCTGTCCCTGTCCGACACGCTGTACGTGCTGTCCCTGCCCACGCTGGTCTACTACTACGCCAACCGCAACGACTGGCCCTTCGGCGAGGGGCTGTGCAAGATCGTGCGCTTCCTCTTCTACGCCAACCTCTACTCCAGCATCCTCTTCCTCACCTGCATCAGCGTGCACCGCTACCTGGGCATCTGCCACCCCATCCGCTCGCTGCGCTGGATCAAGACCCGCTACGCCCACCTGGCGTGCGCGGCCGTGTGGTGTGCCGTCGCTGCCTGCCTCGTGCCCAACCTCATCTTCGTCACCACCAGCCTCCGGGGCAACGACACGCTGTGCCACGACACCACCCGGCCGGAGGACTTCGACCAGTACGTCAGCTACAGCTCGGCGGTCATGACGCTGCTGTTCGGCGTCCCCTTCCTGGTCATCGTGGGCTGCTACTGCCTGATGGCGCGGGCGCTGTGCCAGCCCACGGCTGCGCTCTCCTCCTCCTCCTCCTCGCGGCGGGCGGGCGGCAGCGCGCGGCGGAAGTCGGTCAAGCTGATCGTGGTGGTCCTGGTGGTCTTCGCCCTCTGCTTCGTGCCCTTCCACATCACCCGCACCCTCTACTACACCTACCGCGTGCTGGAGGCCGACTGCGCCGTGCTCAACATCGTCAACTTCGCCTACAAGATCACGCGCCCGCTGGCCAGCGTCAACAGCTGCATCGACCCCATCCTCTACTTCCTGGCTGGCGACCGGTACCGCGCCAAGCTCCTGAGAGCCATTTCCAGGTCGGCGCCAGTGAAGAACAAGTTCCCTGCCACCCGCGCGCCTCGCCACCTCAGCCACGAGCTCGCTCTTGTCTACAAAAATCCCGACGCTGCAGCTGGCATGAAGCCTGCGACCTAACCTGGAGAGAAACTGCTCAGGCAGGCCGGCGGGCTTCAGGAACACAGGGACCGCGTGCTGCTGGACCGGCTGCCCCATAGTTACACAGCAGCTCTGGCCGGGAGACGCAGCACAGGGACCCGTCGGCAGGATCGGGCAGTGGGGGAACAGTCCTGCGGGGTGACCCAGGCTGGGAGACGGCACATCCTGGCTAGAGGGAAGTGTTTCACGAGACGGCACGGCGGCGAGGCCGTTCCACAGCGGCTGGAGACTGGACCGGCAGGAGGACCTGAGCGGTCGAAGTTCAGGGGGGAAAGGCTGCAGGGTGGCGGGCGATTGTGAACGGGACTGAGGGAGCTGCTGGCCCATGTTGTTCCGTTCGATCCGATTCAAGATGACTGGCGTAAACAGAGCGGGCTCGCGCTTCAGTTAGCGTGCCGGACCAGGGTCAGGAGACTGAGGTCTGAATGCAGGTTGAGGGCGAAAGGGAAGGGTATGTTTGGTGAATCAAATCAGAAACTCAGACAGGAGCACTTAAGTGTCAGTGCAGAAAGTACTATTTTATTAGTTTTAGAAATTTAAATGACTTTTATGATGCTGCCAGTTGCCACTTATGTACATCTTTGGGGGGCCTCAGAAGTACACAGTTGTTTTTTATGGACTACTAATGGCCTTTCACCTTGCTCACCCAACTGCTGGCCATCTAGCTCAGCAGAAGGAGCAGAGGCCAGTGAGACAGGTTACAGCCGGTCAATGAGCACTGGATTTCCGAGGAGGGAAACAAACAGCTACTGTGCTCGTTTGAGCACTATTTGAGTTATTCCCTAGCTTTAGCATATAAGGAATTGTAATGCAAAGCCTGTTACACAGCTGAAAGTTTTTATACAGAGCTAACTGAGCCATTTTAAAAAGTCATATTACACAACTTGGACGTTTGCGCATTTAATGAAGCCATTACTCTTTAATTTCATATTTAATATTGTAAACACAAGGTTTTAACAGAAAGTTCCTTCTCAAATGTATCAGGGACAAATACACTTTCAAGTGCCAGAATAAAAGCTCATTTTAATAGAGTTAAGCTACTTGTAATTTCTCAATTCTGAATTACCAAGGATCATATCTTATCTAATTCTGTCAATTAGCTCAGCCATCTGAGAAAAACTCATACATCAAAAAAATTATTATTCCTTCCTGGACAGAATTCCAGCAAACAAGCTGGAAAGGGATTCAATAAATCAAAACTCCTGTTAGATCACACTGCACACGTGATTGAACAAACGTCACCTTAAATGATGTTTTTCATGAGGTGAATTTTAAAAATGGTGCTGAACTGTGAAGGGTTTAAATACGCACGTTTCTATATTAGTGAAATCATACGAGGCGAGTGGAGCCCAGTCCTGGAGTGCTGCTTGTGAAGAAAGATGTTTGTTTTTTCATAACGGAAACACTCTGTATTCCTCTGTGACTAGACTGAGGGGGCCTGAGCCCTGAAGAGCTACACAGCTGTCTGCTGTAACACATGTGGAAAGAACAGGCCAAGCCTGACTGAGTCTGGGGATGGGAGGGGGGCTCTCAGTCCCTCTGTCCCAACCCACGCTTGGCTGAATTTTCAGGAGCTGCCGTGATCGAGCTTCCAGGGCTGATATGGATTTATCCTGAGGAACCCTGCAGTTTAGCTCAGCCTGTCTTCAGCCAGTCTATTTTCAAGCAGAAGACTTTGGCTTTGCATTTGAAGACCTACCTGGGAGCTGGGGTGAATCTTTCTGGGATCTGAAAGGATCAGGGGGATCAGGAAAAGCCCGGATCTCACAGAGCAGAGTGCAGACTCATCCTTCCCTAAGTGGGCAGCCTGTGTCACAACCCCTGGGACTCTTGCTCCTGGCTCTCTGGGGCCACGCCCAGTTCGGGCTCCAAGCTGTCAAGCCACTTATTTGACATCATTACCTTAAAGTCACAAGGTGCTGCTGCTGAACCAGGAAGTGCGTCGCTCCTATTAACTGAAGTGACGTCTGCAAAACTGGAAATGAATAATATTGAAGATTGGAGGGGGTGTGGCTTTTGACAGTGAGGTGATACACTTGCCCTCAGACACCGCACTGGGGTTGGCATCCCCTTGGAACCCACCCAGTGAGCATTAGAATAGTATATTTATGTACATATGTAAGATTCTGTGTGTATGTATTAGATTCTGTAAATCTGCAGATAATGGTTTCCTTTTTCAACCACAGGAGAAAAGGTGAAATTTAGCATTACTAATGGCAGCTTGTATCCTGAGGTCAATCATCAGCAGGCTTGGGACTTGTCTGAATTGTGTCAATGGTCATTCCCTTTTGCTTTATTGCTATAATAACTAAAACACCATGCAACAGTAAAAAAGAGAAATTGTTATAAAGGTTGTTGAATATTTCTCAGACATATTATATGAAGTTATTGGCTTTTAAATGACATAACAACAAAAGAATGACATTACGCAAGAACCAACAGCTAGACGTCTGATTTTTTTTTATATTAAATTTGCTTTACAGAAAAATGTAATTTTGTAGAAACCTTCAATGTAATTTTTATAGTCTTTTTTAAGTGATAGCTTTCGTTAATTTCCCCTTTAGATTGCTCATTGACAAAAGGATATTTTTTTAGAAAGTTAGTTAAGCTTTATAATTGTGCTGCACCCCAAATTCTTAAAATCCATATTTCCAGAAGCGTGCTAACCTGAAGGACAGTTTGAAATGTTATCTCAGTTTAATGAAATAAAACTGAACATGGAGATTTCTGAACCAGGTCTCCAGCTGTCATTCTTGTTGTGGCAAACGAATGAAACAAGGTCCTAAACACCCGAACACAACAGAATGAAATTTGGTTTCAAACCAGATGATCTTTATCAGGCAGCGATGTGGGAATTATTCTTTGGTCTTCATCCATCTTCCTGCCACTTTAACCAGTACAGAGTCATGGCCGAGCCGGAGCCTCTCCCAGCAAGCAATGGACGCGGGGCAGGGTACACCCTGGACAGGACAGCGGTCCATCGCAGGCCACACACCAAGCACACCCCCAGGGCCAGTTTTCCCAGGCGTCAGTTAACCTACCAGCTTTTCTTCAGACTGGGAGGAAACCCACATAAACCCAGGGAGAACATGCAAACTCCACGCAGGAGGTGAACCAGGTGGCCAGCGCGCCGCCTTGCGACCCTCTCTAGTCTTCAGTTAGTCCTAAATGTCATTTTAAAGATGGCTGCCTGTGGTCTTTTATCATTTACTCTGTATGAATGCACGCGCTTGTGTACTCCTGCACTGTTTAAAGGTAAAGATGACAGAAAGCTGATCTACTGTTAAACCAGCTTTAGTACCCTATAGCCTGATTGATCCAAACTCAGGAGCTGGGCAAGTCGGATCAGTACTGGGATGGAGGCCTCCAGGAAAATCAGGCTGTTGGTGGATGCGGTGTTGGTGGATCAGTAGGTGGCACTCTTTCTTCTGGACCTAGGATATCCAAACCAATGCCCCAATATAGTAACAGGGAACAGTGTTCAGTGTTATAAGAGGTACCTGCCTTTGGACGAACTGGTAACCGAGGTCCTGACTTAGTCATTAGATCTCAGGGCAGTCTTTGTGATGTAGGGGTGTCAGCCCTGCTGCCCTCCGTGTGTGCAGTGTGGGCTCCCTACAGTTCCCTCTGACTTCAGGTGGTGAACTCATTTCTCACTTCACCTGTCCTGCTGTGTAGTGGGGTTGCTGGCTCAGAATAGATACTACAATCTGGTGGTAGATGAAGTAGGTTCCCTCCTATACATGAATTCTTTGGGATGAAAGGCGCTACAGAAATGTATGTAATGAATAGTGTGGGTGCTTTGTTCACGTTGGGATTAAATGCCATCTCCCTGGCTTATGTGACCCAGCAGGTTTGGGACACCTTTCACGCTCCAGGGCTGTGCTACTGTAACAGGTTCACTCCTGATGCACCCTGTTATACTACATTGTCCCACACAGGCGTGGCACAGAGGTTTAGACCCCATCTGTGTTCATGCGGCTCAGAGGGACATTATGAGTTCGTAATGTTAGTCTTAATGAGATGTAGTTCCTTTTTTAACATAATACAGAAAGTAGCAAAAGCTATAGAAAATGCTCAATGAGAAAATATTTTGAGGAATATGTGTATTTTGCAATTAGATCCACAATAAATATTTTGTTCCATTTTATTCTTGAAGCGGTTATGTCATTTAATAATCTCATTATTTACCCAAACCATTCATTTTTGGTCATTATTGGACGGCTGTCAGATGGACATTATTAGCTACTGATATTGTTTCCGTGAAACAGGGGGATAGAATAATCCACTTTAAAAATAGCTGAAGGGAGTGAGCCTGTGCCATGAGACGCCCAGTAAATCACAGACAATGGCTCCTGAGGAAGCTGAGGACAGGGGAAAGGAGCCAGAAGAGGAAGTCATTTTCCACACTTCCTGCCCTGCCCTGGGCAGAGCATGCGAGTATCCTCATTGAGCTTGGCCATTCCCCCACCCTCATTTCAGCCACAATAACCGCCCTGCAGTGGGGGAGACACGAGCCCGTGTTCCTCCTGAACTATTTGAGGGGTCTTTGGGCCCATGTGTTTATCATAATTCTTGACTTCATATACTGTAGTGTGCAGGATCTCATCCTCCAGCCCTGTCCTGAAAGAAACCAGGGTCTCGGCTTCAACAGCTTGGCTGGGCAGCTTGTTCCACACTACCACCACCCTTTGGGTAAAGTTTTAAACGTACTGCCTCGTAATTTTCACTTGCTTGAAATTCACTGCTCATTCTGAAGATGTCAGCTGGGTTGACTTTGTCAGTGGTTTTTGAGGACTGTGAAAATATATGTATTATATTAAAGTATTGGCAACGGGAGCTGAAAGACATCCATACGCTGCCTTATTAAACACCTCTGAAAGACAGTCAAGTCCGAGCACAAATATATGAGGAAGAAACAATATTTTATTTACAAACACAGTACATTTTTCTTAAGCTTGTACAGGAATCAGTCTAGGTAAATCGATTACATGTCAAGTACATTTCCTATTTGACACATTTTCTAGCAGTTAAATCCCCTTGGAATATCTTTCATATGACAACAGAAAACGCGTTTGGACAGAGAATCTTGAATGTCTCCCCACATGCCCATTCTTCTCAACATTCAAGACACTTCATGGCGCAATTTCTGGGCTATTACCGCCCTCTTCTGGCAAAAGGTAGTTAGGACATTTTACAGTGAATTTGTTGCTACAGTACGGCCCCGTCAGCTAAGCTGAGAATTAGTTCAGGTGGGGAGCTGCGTCAGCATGCAGGTAGTCTGCAAAGGAACAAGTAATAGGTTTATTCCATGCTGAAAAGAGGAGAGAAAACGCAACGTTTCGGCTGTGAAACCTTCTTCATGCCGCCTGTACAATGTACAAAAATATACAATGAGCTAGTAAGCATTTGCAATACTGTGTACAAATGTGATGACTGCATTATAAAAAAAGATATTGCTCCTGAGGAAACAGTCCTGGAATTAAAGCAATGCCTTATGCTGACACGCTTAAACATCTGATTTATTTTAGTCCTGAACAGAGAAGACTACAAGGAGACCTGATTCAAGTATTTGAAATACTTTGACAAACTCAGAAACTAGGTAGAAGCACATTTAAAACCGAGATAATGAAGCACGTCTTTACCCAAAGAGTTGTGGGGGTGTGGAATAAGTTGACCAAGCGTGTTTCTAAAGCTGAAAACCGGGCTTCTTTCAAGAAATGGCTGAAGGAGATCCTCCGCGCTTCAAAGAATCAAGGAATAATTATTATAATGATTGCTGAAACACCGGAGCCCGAACGACCCCTAAGAATAAAAAGCCCCTGTTACATAAAAGCAAATTTCTATATTAATAACTCCTCATTAATCAAAACAACGAGAGAGAGAGCACACAAAGGTCTCATACTTCCGCGTGTGGGGCAGCTAAAGAATCTACAACCGCGCTGCTTTTACAAGGCTAACAGTTCATCTCATCTGATGGTGGCACATGTCGAAGACGTCGCGATGTTCTACAACTTTATAGACAGAGCCGCCTGGAAAGCGATTTGACAGAGATGTGAAAATCGGAGATTGTATTGTGCACTTCATGTAAATTCGCTCTAGGTAAGCATAGCGCTGTTTTTTTACTCGTGTTCTTTCACCCCTTAAAGTCTTTCCTCTGCCTGGAGAATCGCTTGTGAAAGCGGGGGATTAAAATAGCCGTTCGTTCGCTTTTCTGGGACTGACTTAATCTGGCCAGTAGGTGTCAGTGCTGCTTCCTTGCTTCTTGATTGCAGGCCAGGAAAATAATTTACTGGACAAGAGTATTCGTATGAATTGTTTATAAATGTAATTCATAATATACAAATTTAGCATCCTTGTATGGAGGTTGACGACGCCCAAAATTCGGCGTTTACCTGGTCCTGTAATGGTGTGATTTGTTTTCACAAAATTCCATACCCTAAGGATGAAAACACCTTCCATCTCCTGTTTACAATGCATAATTCACAATCGATGAATTATGTTTACCTTTATTCTCTTAAATTATAATATTTATTATTTAAAAACATTTTTAGATAAAATACATTTTTTTAAATGCTTATAACAAGCTTTGCACCGTTAACATCTTGCGAATCGTATTTCAGTATATGGTTTGAAACAGCCAAGCTTGCGGCCTCTGTAGGCCGAGGAGTCGGGACTCGAACCCAGGTTCGCTCAGCTAAAAGCGCGTGCACAGTTCCCAAGGGAAACAGCACGCGCGACAGGTGGACGGCGAGCCTAATTTTTCCGGTTAATCAGTTAGTACTTCAGCAGTTGTACTTCCTGCCACGGTGACATTCATTCATTCATTTACGAGAGGGTACACATCCAGAAAACGAAAAAAAAACAACACGTTTTCAACAAGTCAGCGCTCCCAAGTGGCCGCGGTTTAGCGCGAATTTAACAAACTGTGTCGCTGTATTGTTGTTGTTGTTTTTTTTTTTACCGAAAGATATTACATATTTGAGAGCGACGATAAAAGAACCCTAATGCGGAAAATTGTTTTTGTCTTGTTTCTGAAGATATTCAGTACCTTGGCGCGATGCATTATTTTATTTTTGATTCTGTCTGCTGCTCAATCGGCCTGCAAGTTCGGAAACGAAGCGAGCCAACAAGTTTATTATTAGTCTGACTTGTCCTCTTCGGAAGAGGCTCGCTCGGTTCTGATGACCAGACTGGACTGGTGATCTGGGGGTCGCACGGCATTTCCGATTGCAGGGTCATGATGTACATGACGTAGTCTGTGACGACTCCGGGTTGCTCGGTGGTGCTGCAGGATTTCGCAGATCGCGGAGCCCGGCGTCCGCGCGCCCTGCCGGTGCTTGCGGTGATCTCACGTGCAGGTGTTCGCCGACTGGAGCACGAGACCCAGCCCATTCAGCGTGGGCACCAGGGAGTCAGTCAGAGGCAGCGTGGCTGAGAAGTGGTCAAATGCTGGGGTACTATGGTACACAGTGTGTGGTATAAAAATGATCAATAGAACATTAAACCCTGAAAAACTGAAGAGCAAATCTGCCTTTGGAATGACGGAGCAATAGGTAAAATATCCCTGCCGGGCTTGATTCAGTTTGGTCGGGTAGAAAACACCAAGAAAACTCAGTTCATTTATGCTGGTTTGGTAACCTGTGTATTTAGTGTCAGCTGGCTTGAGTGCTTTCAGAAAGAGCCATGTCCTGCTTCAGTCCCTGGGCTGGTCACCCATACTTCTGATCCT